TCCTCTGTAGCTAGTAACTACTTAATTACTAATTATTATTTTATATCTTGTGTACCTTGTTTTTGTTATACTTGAGTTATATTTCATTTACTCACTTAAATGTAAATGTATGTACTGCTCAACTGTAATTGGGGTAAAACCTGTAGTTGAGCAAGCAAATTTCATCAAACATTGCTTAGGTACTTGAAAAAGAAATCTGATGATCCAAATTGTTCATACAAGCCTAACTATGAAGTAAACAAGATATTCAGCAAGGAAGAGGAGGAGCTACTTGGTCAATACATAAAAACATGTTCGCAAATGGATTATGGTCAGAGCACAAAAATGGTCAGAAAGTTGGCATATGAATTGGGAGTAGCAAACAAGAAAAAATTACCAACTGCGTGGACAAGGTGGCAAACAGCAGGACACGATTGGCTGCGTGCATTTCTTAAGCGAAATGCACTATCTATCAGGCAGCCTGAAGCATGCAGTTTGTCACGGATGACGTCTTTCAACCGTGCTAATGTTTCATTGTTCTTTAGTAATTTAAGAACTGTGATAGCTAAGTATCCTGCATTATCTGATCCATCAAGAATTTTTAATCTAGACGAGACGGCAACTACAACTGTGCAAAAGCCAAAAAGAGTGGTGGCGGAAAAGGGTGTCAAACAATTGTGCTCAGCAACAAGTGCAGAAAGAGGTCAGTTAGTGACAACTTGTGCTATAATATCTGCTATTGGCACATTTCTTCCTCCAATAATGATTTTTCCACGTCATCACTTCAAACCACATATGCTCACAGGTGCACCTTCTGGAACGATTGGACTCGCTAATCCATCAGGTTGGATGTCAACCGAATTGTTCTCGCTTGTGATGGATCATTTCATCAAACTATCAAATAGTTCATTAGAAAATCCGTCTCTATTAATTTACGATAACTTAGAAGCACATATTTCAATTGACGTCATCGAAAAAGCTCGCGCAGCCGGGGTTCATATCATAACACTTCCCCCCCACTGCAGCCACAAACTCCAACCTTTAGACGTGGCAGTGTTTGCTTCTTTTAAGGCTCACTACAATTCGGCTTGTGACACATGGCTCCTCAAGAATCCTGCCCAGACAATCACGATTTATAACGTTGCCGAATTGGTAGGTGTCGCTTTTGAGAATTCTTTTACACCAAAAAACATTAAATCCCGATTCTCAAAATCTGGTATTTACCCCTTCAACGACCAAGTTTTTACTGATGCAGACTTTTTGGTTTCATCAGTCACAGATCGAGCCATAGACACTTTAGAAACAGCAAATGACATATGTTCCGCCGGGCCATCTGGAATTCAGCAACAAAATAATCAATCGCAACCGCAAGAATTTATTTCCCCAGAACAACTTAAAGGATTTCCAAAAGCAGGGCCGAGAAAAACACAAAATCAAAGAAAAAAGAAGAAATCTGCAATAATCACAAGCACACCAGAAAAAAATTTAATCTGGGAAGCAAAAAAACCAAAACCAACAAAGATGAGCAAGCAAAAGCAAGAAGAAGATAGTAGTGAAAGTGATAAAAACGAGCTACTGTTTGATGATGACGACGATAGCGATATTTTTTATGATTCTCCATCAGATTCAAACGATGATCAAGAAAACTTTTTCGATGACAACCCAAAACCTGCAGTTAAGTCATGGGTTGTAGTACAATTTGAGGGTAAAAAATCGAGCCTTTTCTATATTGGGCAAATCATTGACGAAATAGGAGACTGCTATAAGATAAATTTTTTGAAACGTGGCAAGAGCTTTTATGTTTTCCCTCAAGTTGAGGACATTGCAACCGTAGAGAAACACAGAATCAAAAAAGTGTTAAATGTCCCAAAGGTGCATCGTGGACAACATGATTTTGTAGTTAAATTTCCAAAATCTTTTAATTTTGTTTGAATAAAAGTGTATTCATACAAGATGTAATTGTTTTTTCTAGTGGTCCATTGTGTACTTACATTTAGACCACTGTGTACCACTAGTGGTACACAGTGGACCACATATGGATATAAATTGGAAAAATCATAAAAAAGGAAGTAGACCACCAAATGAATTTATACCTATTATTTTGACTACGGTAAGACTGCGACTAACACATGAACTCCAAGTTGAACAATTTTGACTGAAATAGTGGCAACAATGGACAGTTTTATAATTTTTGGTCCACTGTGTACCACTCTCCCCTACTGTAGTATGCTCATTGCTGCTTACGGTTGACTGGTTAATCCCTCAGATTCTACGGTAGCCAATATGCGTCCAGATTTTCGTGCCACAGACAGCTTGATTATTTTGCAGGCTCCACAAGCTAATTACGTCAGTAGATGCCCAATCACGTACTAATAAATTATTTTTATTTTAAAATAACGCCTTACAATAAAAACCCTGAAATGGACGTGTGAGAGAATGGAATCAAAAAATTAATCTTACCTTATTAAATAAGGGTTTAAACTTAATGACCGTTTTAAACGTGCCAATTACACAATAATATAAAAATTACTTTCAAAAATGTCTCTTCACTTGAGAGTCCCTCTATCAATCCGCTATTTTTCCCATTCCTTTCTCCCACACGCGTTATCAGTCAAGGCCTCTCAAAATTTTGTAAATATTCAAATTTAACCTTGTGGGGCCATCTGAATAACGAATTCGATAAATTGTTGCTCACGAAAAGGCAACTTTATTATTTAAAAGACTTATTATTCTCCCATTTTGAACTGTAATTATGGAGTTCAAGAATTTTTACTCGTTACATTATGTACGACAGTTTTTCAAAAATCAACCACAATGGGTTTTTGTATGATGTAACAAAAAGGAATGGGATGTTATTATTAAAAGACGGCACCTTTGCGTTAATAAGAAACATATAAGGAGATTACTACAAACATTATCAAGCGGTATTGTATCTTCGAATTTAACAAATGCGAGTATTTTCCATATATGTAAGGCCAAAATAAAGAATTCCACTGGAGCTATGGTGCTACTAAGCGAAATTCTTGTCAAATGCATGTTAATTGATGATGAGATTGTAGTTCCTTTGATTGCTGAGCTAGAGTAGTGGGAGTTTTGTGTTTTGGAGGTATGTTTCAAAACTGCGGAATTTTCCGCTGGTATAGGTTTTTAACAGAATAACTCTTTCAGGTGTTCAACTTTTGCCTTGTTAAATTTAAGTGCGACAAAAGCATAGCAGTGATTCCTGAAAGTTGAACAATAAACAAAGATGATGACAATGCAATCTGCTATTGGCCAAGGATCTGCAGTAAACAGCAAGTGCAGAAGCTGCATCCCGTAGTTGGCCTCAGTATAAAGTAAAAATTATGAAACAGTGTCGTAAGTACCTTGTAAATGAAATGGTTCAAAATACTAAATTGCGTTTGTAGAAACGTATGAAGATGCATTAGCGCTAGAGGAAAAATTTCTGACCACTGAAAACACCGAGTCCGAAATGGATGAAGCAGAACAAAGAGTTGTGAGAAGGAGACAAAAACAAAAAAAACATTATATCGACTTTCAGCTGGAGACTCCACCGTCAATAGGTTCTGTATCCAGGTCTGGACGTCTGGTTCTGAAGAAGGTAATAATATAGTATTTATTTAACATAATATCGCACATACATACTGTAAACTAGGCGATTGTATTGCTGCATTTCATAATTTTCATTTGTGTATTGCATGTTCAAAACTTTCTTCTAGGTGAAGTTCCCGACTCTCAATCCCCACTGGATGAAATTGAGGATTTTGTAGAGAACTTTAGACAAGAAACGATTTCTATTATGGAATCCAGGGATGAAGGTTTATATCATCTGCTGTATAACATGTTAATGTTTTACTTTATAGATATTAGGGGAAAGTGACCTATGACGGCCCTGTGCCTCTGATGGCCCTCTTATCATATTTTGTTAAGTGCAAGGTGTGTTGCCAATATTTAGTATTCAATGCAGCCCGCGTGGCAACAGCAGTGCGCCTGTGAAGTTTCGTGCGGGTACATCGTTTCGGTGCTGCACTATAGCAAAAAAATTTTTGGAGAAAATCCGCAGAAAAACCGCCAACGCAGCCAAGAGGAAAATCAATAAACAACTGGAAAGTTATAGCGACAACGAAGGTATTGGGGAAGTCTCTGATGACAACTCAGATGCCGCATGCTTATACTGCAATGAATTGTATTCCCATTCACGTAGAAATGATTTTTGGATAAAATGCCAAAAATGCAAGAGTTGGTGCCCCACCGAATGTGCTGGGGCCACTAGGATGGTTAAAATGTTTACTTGCGATCTTTGCAAATAGCGACATACAACTTTATAGTTTAGAAGACATATTCCTTTAGAAAGAATTATTTTTTATTTTGTAATATTTCGCTTTTGCAATAAATAAATGGGAAACACTTTTTAATTTATAACGAATATTACTTATTTCCTAAATCTGGCTTTTTTACCCATTTAAAATATATAGGGCCGCCATAGGAACTATGTGCTCATAGGCATATATGGATGCACAGACCGCGGCCCGTCGGTCGAATACTGGTGGCCCGCCGACAGCAAAAATAATACTCCCGTACATTCGAAAAATATTGAATTCTATTCCAGAATAAAACGAAAAAAAATCTCGATTAAATTCGTTTGCTTGAAGAAGCGCGGCGGCCGGCGGCGCAACGACGATTGCTCGCGTAGATACACGGAGCTTCCAGAGTCGGTTTCAAGTTTCCGACGCGCCACGCTAATCGGCAGTGACCGACAGTTCGGTTTTAATTTGAGTGAAGTGTCAACAGAATGCAATATTTTGATCCACATTCAACGTAGATTTCCTGTTGCAGTGTTAACCCGTCAAGTGCCGTGTATAATTGTGTTGTGAAATCGTAAGTAAAACTCTGTTTTAATAAGTGTTTCCCTACCCATTTAATCAATTCTTTTGATAATTTAAAAAAAGATGAGTAATTTAAGTAGGTACTGTAATTGTTTTTAGGTGCTGTGTTAATCCTAGCCAGGATTAGAAAACAACATGGACAAACCAGGACCTAGTAAAAAACGTAAGGTTAAAGATGAAAATCGGCAGTTTCAAGAAATTTGGACTGAGAAATACTTTTTTGTATGGTCGCATAACAAAGTCGTTTGTTTAATTTGCAAGAATTCTGTTGCGATTGCAAAGGAATATAATGTAAAAAGGCACTATGAAACGCAGCATCCTTCTTTTACCAAGTTTACAGGCGAATTAAGAAAGCAAAAAATGTTGTCTTTAAAACGGGAGCTTATTGGTCAGCAAGCTATGTTTACAAAACCCATTCAAGATTCAGAAACAGCTACAGAAGTTAGTTATGAAATTTCTCAAATGATAGCCAAGCGAAGTCGCCCTTTCAATGATGGGGATTTTGTAAAAGAATGCATAGAAATTGCCGCTAAGAAAATGTGTCCAGAAGCAGCAAAAAAATTTGAGAAAATTCAACTGAATCGTATGACTATCCAAAGACGAATTATGTCTTTGTCGGGTAATATTTCGGAACAATTATCTGAAAAAACTAAGATCATTGAATTTTTTTCATTAGCACTCGACGAATCCACTGATATTAGTTCCACAGCTCAACTTCTCATATTCATACGAGGTGTTACTCAAGATTTTGAAGTCTTAGAAGAGTTATTAGGAATGTGTTCATTGAAAGGTCAAACCAAAGGAGTTGATATACTCAATGTACTTTTGGATGAGTGTTCAAAAACTGACTTGGACTTATCAGAATTAGCGGGAGTTGCGACTGACGGTGCTCCTTCGATGATAGGTGTCAATTCCGGGCTAGTTACTCTGCTGAAAAACCATCTGCATTAAAAAAACATAAAGGCTGAAGATCTCATGCAGTTTCACTGCATTATACACCAAGAAGCCCTTTGTGCTAAAAAAATTGATTTTCAAAATGTCATGAAAGTGGTAGTTTCGACTGTAAATTTCATAAAATCACGAGGACTCAATCACAGGCAATTCAAACAATTCCTTGATGACATCGAAAGCGAATATGGAGATTTACTGTATTATACAGAAGTAAGGTGGCTAAGTCGTGGATTGACACTGGAACGATTTCTAAATTTAATAGAAGAAATTGGAATATTTCTGGCGGAAAAGCAAAGGGATGTCCCGGAACTTAAAAATCCTGATTGGTTGTGTGATTTGGCTTTTTTAGTTGACATTACAAATCATTTGAATATCTTGAACACACGGCTTCAAGGTAAAAATCAACTGATATCCCAGCTCTACGCTCATGTATCATCCTTTCAATGCAAGCTGACACTTTTCAGATCGCAATTGAATTCTGGAAATTACAATCATTTTCCGAATTATAAGAAAATGGCTGAAAAATTCAACAAAACTGTGATTAATTTCAGTTATGTAAAAAAGCTGGATATTTTGATTCAATCTTTTCAAGACAGATTTTAGGAGTTGAAAAAAGTGAAACCTCTGTTGGACATATTCAGCAATCCTTTCACGATTTCAGTTGAAAATGCGCCAGAGTCAATGCAGTTAGAAATTATCGACATTCAAAACGACGAAGATTTACGCAACAAATTCAACGAAGGGGACTTGCTGAACTTTTACCGCTGCATTGATAAAATTATGTACAGAGTTGCGCACAAACGCTCTGAAATGTGCCAGCTTATTTGGTTCTACCTATATATGTGAACAAACTTTTTCAATACTTAATAATAATAAAACAAAAAATAGAAACCGCCTTGCAAATGAAAGTTTGGAAGCAGTTTTACGTGTTGCTACAAGTAAATTTGAGCCAAATATAAAAAAGATTGTAAGCACTATGCAGTGCCACGCTTCAAATTAATAAATTCCTTTTTAATTTTAATACATTATTATCAATTCTTTATTGTCTTTAATTACCTATACTTCTGGCGGCCCGCCATCAGTTCATGATTTGCTCGAGTGGCCCCTAGTCTTAATAAGTCTGTGCGGCCCTATGATGGCCCCCATGAAGTTTTTTAAAAAAAAATATGGTTTCATGGTAAAGAAGAAGTGTTTGAAAATTTCAATGCTATCTTACAAGGGTCCCTATACTAGCTTCCTTTTGACCCAATTTGTCTTAAAACACAATAATTATCAAAATTACAACCAATTACAGTTAGGGGGGCCATCATAGGTCACTTTCCATAGACATACTAGCTGCTCCCGTAGTCATCACTGGAAACCCGCACTATACGTCTTGTAAGTAATAAAATTCTGTAAGGGTAAAGTATGGAACATTTCGTTTTAGTTGAACAAGCTTTGCCGTGTAGCGCACTTTTAGAAATACAGGAACTGGAAAAGCTTCTATCAAATGAAGATGTTTATAAGCAGCTGGTACGTGTAGGTATAACGAATGATGAGCTGCCCTAATAATTTTATACAGACTGTCTCTTGCTTAATATTGATTCATAAACTACCTGTTTAGTTTTTTTGCAGTATGCACTCATAAACATTTATCACTTAACAGTAGTTATTGCTATTATACCTATACACATTTAATAAGTTACTCTTATATTAGATACTGGAAAAACAGTATCATCTATAAACATACATTTTTAGCGCATTTCCACAAAAATAAAAAAAAATGCGCTATTGTGGCCACTTTGTCCGTCCGGCCATCCTTTGGGACGCTACTAGTTCTTTATCTTAAGAGCTATTGTTCTACTTTTTTCGCTATTTGGTTCGTTATGGTGTCAAGGCTTACACCAAGGAAGGAATTTTTTCTGTACCGCTTACAAAAAATAGTTATTATAAAAAACAAAAAAAAAAAACACTTTTTACATGTTCCATAATTTTACACTTTTTCCGTTTAATAAAGATCCTAGAGATCGTTCATAATTTTGTATTGTCGTCTGTCTGTTGGTATGTCCGTCTGTTCCTTTGTCTGTCCATCTATCTGTCCGTGTGACCGATAACTTTTGTTAAATAAAATCGGACAACCAATATATATCAAACGAGCTCCGATTAATGAAATGGCATCCATGTAATTTGTTCGTATATTGGTAAATTTATTTCATAAAATTTTTTGATAACACATGTACAAATATATACATTACATAACAATCAATCCTCTTCTAATTATTATTTGGAATAATACAAGAAATACCTTTGTGATGACCAAAATGTATATCGTAAATTGATGCTTTTAAGTTCGGAACGTTAGAGAATAAGCAATCAATATGAGATCCGGCAATTGTTGTAGGGCTGCTAATGTCAAGAGTGCCTTTTAAACCACAGTTATTGAAAAAATTTAGAAAATTGTGGTTGGTCTTTTGCGTCAGATCAATGTTTATATCACCAAATAATATTACATACGCTTTCTATTATATTCGAAATAAATTGTCTGAATAAAACAACTGAAAACTGTAGACTTCTGTAAATCATAACATATGTGACGCTTTGAAAATTCCAATAAATTGCTAAACAGTGGCCTGTACTGCTGGTAAGAGTTCTCCAACACATGAACAGCACTTGTTCCAATTCTCTGGTATACAACGCTACCGTCTTGACATTTGCCGAGAGATCGAATTTGTTCGATGAACAACGGCAAAATTGTTTAGATCAACTACAGTGAATTTTTTTTAAATGCGAACATAGGAGTTTGCATGCAATGTAATTTCCCTATGTTCGATTTAAAAAAAAAACACATCAATCTATTGAGTAGTTCAAATGAGTAGTAGATACAATTGACAGCTGTCACATTTTTAAAAATACCGTCGTCCAATTTAATTACGAAATCGGTTAGGTTATTGCTTAGAATGTCAAGGAGGACACTTCGAACATTTATTGTAATTGTTTTCGGTATTTATTTTCTTATTTTCATCATTTATGTATTGAATAGATCAAATTAGTAGAATACCAGGTGCACATGACCTACAAATAATTGAAGGTTGGTTCACAATGAGTTGTGGTGTCAGTGCGTGGCCTGTGAGGGCAAGTTATCGTAAGTTTCAGAAAAATGTATCCTAAAGTTGCTGTGGCCTCACAAGAAATCTTACCGAGTGCTCTTCATCATAAAGACTATTAGAGTTGCTGTTCATAGTCACACAAGTTGCGCGATTTGGGAGGGTGAACCGCGCACACCTCATAGATTGATGTGTTTTTTTAAAAATCGAACATAGGGAAATTACATTGCATGTAAACTCCTATGTTCGCATTTAAAAAAAACTCACTGTATATCAGTGTCCAAAATATGTGGTTCCACAAACGCCGCAAACGTTGCTGATGCAGGGCACAAATCACTTGATATAATCTTCCTTGTGTTTCATTAAATACTCTACATTTATATAAAAGAGTGTTATTTCTTCACTAAAATCTTGCAGAAAGAAAAATGGATACTCAATGTCAATTGCTCTCAGCCGTTTCATTTCTGCTGTAACTGAATCGGTTTTAGGTGGTTTGGGCTTTTCGAAATCACCGTCGATGTACAAACCTTCTAAGCTTGTAGCTGGGCTGCACGCTACATAAAGTAGTTCTCTGGTTAAGGCCCGGGTTCCAAGCCTACGGACACAAACAACATTTGGAATTGAAGATCCCTGAGACTTTGTGATGGTCGTAGCAATAGCAGCTATTAAGGGAAGCTGTTGTCGAAGTAACTCAAGTCCTTGTTTAAAACGTATTTCATCTAATTCCCAAGTTTTTCGTCTTTGCTTTTTCGATATGATATGTTTTTCGACAAGTATTTTGGCAAATTCGGAAATTTACTTGGTACACTAGTTTCTTTTAATCGTGGCAACGTTCAAGTAATGAAAGCGATCTCACCCGTTTTTGTATCCTGTTGGGAAATCTTGTAGATGAAATCCTCCTTTACAAAGTGACATTCACAGACTCTGCTATTCTTATTCGGCACAAATTTTTCGTAGGGAATAGCTGTTAGCCATTTTCTACGTCATCTACAGGAAACTAAAACACTCGCACTTTCTCACCGCTTGCATAATTGCATGTACAGCCGAGAACGCAACACTTCAGGAGCATTACGATCAAGTACATTTATTACTACTCTATTGAGGTTTGTTGAAAGTACAAAAAAGATCAAATAAAACGTTCAAATGATAAATAATGGGTAAAATTTAGATCACTTACGGCCGGTATTACGAAGTAGGGTTAGCTGTAAGAGCTACGGCTAACTCTCAGCTAAACAAAAAGTAGCGTATTACAATACTGAGCTAGCTAGCGGTTGTCGAGATAGCCGTCAGATAGCTTAGCCGTCACCAAAAGTGCCTGCTATCTCTGAGCCAACAGATCGTAGCCAATGAGACGCCGGCAATATTCAATCAGAATAATTGTTGTCATCGAACGCATTTCTGTCAGTTAATCGTTTTTTAATCGTTTCGAATCGAATCGACCACTAAATGGCGTTATTGAGACATTTAAATGTAAATAGTGATAGTGATGATGAAATGTTAGAAGGGTTTTTGCAAAAGACGAGAGCGCGAAAACGATTCAGGCAACTTATAACATTGTTCGACGAATATAACGACGACGAATTCTTCATGAGATTTCGTCTTACAAAACCAACCGTCGCAGCGCTTCACGAGCAATTGGTGGATCAGATTAAATTTCAAACTAACAGGTAATAGAATAAAACGCTAAAGATTTACGTTACATTGTAAAATACGTCTAATATTTTATATATTTCTAGGAACAATGGGTTATCATCACTGAATCAGCTCTTGTTAGCGTTGAGATTTTATGCATGTGGGAACATGCTTATAACGGTAGGCGACTTCACAGGAGTGCAAAGGCGACAGCATCTCGAGTTATTTTTAAAGTGTCGAGAGCAATTGCAGCACTTCGAGAAGACTTTGTTACTTTTCCGTCTA